GGGGGGGGGGAAAGGGAGGGATGTTGAAGCTTTGAATTGATCAGAGAATTATTATAAGTTATCATTGTGATACTTTTTGTGGATAATTCATCAGCTTTATGCAGTACACTGAGAAAACATAACAAACAGTGAAAACACATCATGAGTAATAACAACTTGGATAATCACAACTCACCAGTCAGAACAACATCACTATCTTCAGCTTCATCATCTGTTAAACAAACAACTTCAGGAATTTCTGAGAAGTCAAATTAAAAAGAAAAAAGATAAATTATAATTGATAATGATAATGATTGTTATTATCCCATAAAAAAAGCAGTGCTACTAGACCTAAGTTGTACCAAGCTTGCACAGTTTGAAAAGTCTTAAAAACGTTATTAGAAAGAGAAGTGGTGGCCCTAAAGGTTGGGGTTAAGGACTCTGCATTGGAACTGGGGTGGAATCAGTGATCTGGGTTAGAGCGTCGAGTGTTCCTGAGGAAGATAATAAAACCCTCAAAGTCTCTTTACAACCAAGAGTATAAATTTGGTACAGGTGAATTGCACATAGAAGCAAAACATAGAGAAATAGATGGGGTAAACTCTGTTGCTGCATTTTAGAGGAACTATGTCAGGCTTTAGTAATTGATGCTAGTCTCCAGGTTTCTGTGCAAGCCTCAGTGCAGGAAGAAGTAAGGTTGACAGTTTGTAACCTCAGGCTTGTAATGCAGGGGACCTTGGTTTGAGACTTGCTTTGGCCTCCAGGACCCAGTTGTAAAGAGGGCAGATAACACTGTTCAATGGATAAATCCCTATCCAGCAGGTAGGTGATAGCAAAAAGTATAGTATCCACCAGATAGAGATTTATCCAGTGGATAGCATTACCTGATCTGCAAACAACTGGGGCCAGATGACCCTCTTTTGCCAACTTTTCAAATAAACCCTGAACAATAACACTTTTCAACCCTTTCACTTGCAAGATCTCATTTAAATCTCCTTACTGTTTGCTATACAATTCTTATGCTGCAAGCTTGGAGAATTTAGTATTGGATCAACTAAAAAAAAACTCTTCTAATTGCTTTTTTTCCTTATTTTCATCACTTATCTGCTTGCTATAATATTGATATGGTAAGGAGAAATTCTGTCTTGGTCACTTAGGGCAGTTAAGGGTTAAGGTACCTGTACCAGTACATCTACATATGCTGACCTTGTTTCCCATCAGTCACATCTCTCCTAGCAGAGTTTTTTCTGGAGTTATGGCTGGTGTCAAGGTCTTCTAATTCCTCAGATTTGCGGGATCTTTTCTTGTCTTCATTGTTATCTTCATTATCTTCATCTTCCATAAAGTAATGTCTTTTTCTTTTTCTTTTATTCCCTGCTTCAAATCTCCTCTTCTCTAGAATTTTCAAACAAACACTTCAACTAATTAATACCTTAATTCAAAGCTAATTAATCAAATACTCCCAAAATTTGAGGATTACACCAGATAAAGTTTTGTTGAGGCTGAACCAAAGCTGATGCTGGTCAGTGGTATTGCAGGTTGCACCTGAATCTTAGATCTTAGGGGTAACACCTGACATTTTGCAAGGCTCACATTTTGCATTTGGCCACCTGTGTGTTAACATATAACTACTCTCGCTGCAGACTGCTAGATGCCTGCCTGGCTCTATTAGACATCAATAAGTGGGGTATTTGAATCTGCATTTGAAGAGAAAAAAAAATACCTGTCGGAGTATTACTTCAATGAGTCAATGGCACCATTTAATCAGGCAGTTGCATAGAAAAAAAATCACTTTTTTTTGAGACATGTTTAATCCTTCAACTCCCAAAAGTGATTAATGTATAACTTCTCCCTATAAAGTCCACACATCACCTAGAAAATGGTAATGAGGATATTCAAACTTATCAAGAAGTTATCTTGATCTAACACCAAATTCTCGTCATGTATTTAAAAGGAAATGTCTAGTAGCTAGAGGGGAGAATTAATAATCTGATCTTAGGAGTTAAAGGGTTCAAATCAAAGTTTAAACGTCCGACTTGTGCTACATAATATATCCAGAAAAGTAAAAGTCTCCTCACCATCCCCACCCCTATAAAAAATGGCCACAGCTTAATTTAAAAAACAATGGAATGTACAATGAATATCATGAGCTTTGTATTACGGTTACATAATCTTAGCTCGAAGAATTGTTTAAAATAATTATCACTTTAAACACCAGAGGTTGATCTATGATTATGTTGTCGTTACCTGGATTCATGTTTTCTTTTGAAGAAGAAGTTAAAGCTTCGACAATCTGTACCCGAGTTTCGCTTGTTAGCGAATCCATCACATCAACAAATTCTTGGCTAGCAAAAATTGTAGCGGTAAAACTTGGATCGTCTGCACATGATTCAAGTTCGTTATTTCCTTGATTGCTATCACAACTCGAGGGAGAGTCCCTTGATTTCCTTTCAGAACTCGAGCTATGTGCTGACTGCGAATTCAAAGTGAACTTAGTATTTGTGGATGCACATGGCTGATTAGAAATGCCGGTGGGATCACGCCGAGAACATGTCGAAGGCTTTCGTTGATAGGAAAACTTCTCCAAATTAAATGCTGAAAGTGACATATTTTCTACATTCCATCGCTCTATCCTGTTATTCCATTGTTTGATTTTCTCAGATGCAAGTTGGACTTGATTTTTTTGTACCGTTAGAACCGCCAAACCGCCAACGAAAATTACCATCAACGGACGAGGACATCTGGGAACTAGCATAAGTCTCAGGTTACCGCGGTAAACTAAATTGGCGGGAAGAGACGGGAACAAAGAACCATAGAACCATTATAGACAAATCATTTCGATTCCCGAGTTGTTGTTGGATATCGTGAATATATAAAACAGTAAACTAAACAGAAATGATGCAGATAATTGTAAAATTGTTATAGTTGTCTTTGTTTCTCGGGTTTATTTTCATTGTTGTTTCTCGACATCCATTAGAGTTTACCTTTTATCATGGTGCATCAAGTACAATCAGATATCAAGCGAATGCAAATTTCTGATAATCATGCAAGCGTATTTTCGCAGTTGGATCTTTGTACTTTCAAAGATCTGTTGAACAGCTTGGCGAAATATGTGCGCGAGGATACCACTGTTGAAGTTTTCCTGTTAACAGAGACTGTAAAATATATTAAAGTTCAGTTTGTGACTGTGTATTTGCTTCTGTCTTTCTTGTGAATTTTTCATTCACTTAGTTGTTAAATAATGAAGGCGTCGTAATAATTCAAATATTTTTATGTTGATATCTGAGAAACCAATGGTAAAATTGTACAAGATCTGTATTTTATTATTTAAAGATCGTTAATAAACAGTTTTGTCTTACAAGTATTATTTATTTTCTTTTGTCTATAAAAGATCGACTTTTTGTACACGCTTACAACTGAAATGTTTTCGTAACTCGTTAATGAAATTCTTTTACAACTGCCTTCAGCTGCCATTCATTTTAAACCATGGTCGTCTTAAAGGGCATTTTTTGTCAACGGAGGAAGGATCAGTCGTCGTTAACAGAGTTTCGAGGGACTACTAAAGCAAATTGACTCAATGAGGGGAAGAGGGGGGCATTAGAATACGACAGAGTCTTAGGAGGGGAGGGGAGAGGAAATCAAGTAAATTTTATTGTGATACAACCAAACACCACCCCTCCCCCAGCCAAAAATAATAATGGTTCTCTTCCTGTGCATTTTGTGGCTTTAAAAAACAGTTTCAAGCTCATCATTTTGTCTCTTGAATGTCCTGCTCAAGCTTTCACTCTATCTTTATACGCGATGGCAAATTAACTTCTACGCCGACACGCTCGGCCACGGCGAGTAGGATATCTCTCTGTTGGTCTGTGGCACCAATGAGAATCTTCTGTCTCAATTTAGACTTTTCTATTTCTCGTGTCAAATTGTCAAGCCGTAACGTCATCTCGTCAATTTCCCCGTCATTGTCTCCTAAAAGATCTTCATCCTGAAATTCTTCCTGCTTTGTTCTTCTCCTGTTGTGAAGTTAGAATGAATATAGGTTTAGACGTAAAACGAGAGGGGTATCTCCCGTGTATCAACCCAGGGGGAGTGGAGTTTGGAAGGTGGAAATGAGCCCCTTTCAACTTGTCTTATAGTTACTTACAGACAGGAGAAATAATGTGATTTCTCTTATTAAAGAGTATAACATAGTGTGACGTGTCATGTGTCCTGCTACCATTTTAGATGCTAGCTAACAGACCTTGGTCAAAATCCTAAACACGATTTAACCAAGAAAATGCTTGACGAATTTCGCATGATCTTAAACCTATGGGATCTTTGGTTGGTCGCGAACCTTTCATATAGATCTCGTGCAATGGGCCGAATAGCTTCGTGCAGTGCTAGGGAAAACGGATCAGGTGGAAATTTTGATGAGGTGATAATTCTCGTTTACCTCCAAAGTTTTCCTTTCTCTTCTCCAGCATACACGATCTCATGTCCACTATAAATTCGTCTGGTGAAGAATTTTGGAAATTTCTTCTCTATATCAGCGATAAAAGTGATTTGTTTCCCCTTGTTCCTGAGGAAAGCTGTCTTTTGAATGGCTTCAATATCTCCAACTGCCAAACCAATCTAAGATACACGTACAAATTATTATCTTAATTAGCCACCGTTAAGAGTTTAAAAGCTGACGTTTCTTCATCAGAGCGAATGACGAAGGGCGAACGCTCGAAACGTCAGCTTTTAAACTTTTAACTGTGACTTATTTACGTTATCAACTCAGTTAATAATACCAAATAACCTTTTTATACTCTCCCAAAGAAGCAACACCACAGTTTCTTTGGACACCTACTCCCTTTGTTCAATTTTCTTAATTTTTTGTAACACATTGCGGGCCTAGTCTGGTTTCCTCGTTTTAGAGGAAAGATAGATAGATAGAGAGAGGCCATTTCTCATGCATGCGCCCTGTAAAATGGCAAGTTTCTTGTTTTACTTCACGACTAATTTTCGCGCCTTGCTTCCCTCAGCTGAAGTTCTCGTGGTTGTACTTTGTGATATGATTCTTTGAAGAAGGTCATTTTAACCTTGAAAAAGTCACAAATGGATAAAAAAATAAATTTCGCAATTTTTCTTGCTTGGTGACTGAATTAAAAATAGATCAACGCCATTCTCGATTTTCTTTCATAATTTTTAAAAGAAACTTCTCAGTGTCCAAGTAAAGTTAAATGATTCTTTGTTTGGTGGGGGCTTTGATACTGGTAAAAAAAAAGTTGCTTACCAATAGGTTAACAAGAGCTATCGGCATCGCCAAGATAAACATGAAGTAGAAAATGTAGGTAGAATCTTCAAAAGGAACGAGCGGAAATTTTGTGCCGGCTGAATTCTGGTTCAGCGCGTCAATGACGGTTTGAGTATATTCAATTTCCCCAGAAGTCATGGCAAAAACTTTCATGAAGGCCTTCATTATCGTGCTAAACGATTCCTGCAAGAAAGCAAAACATCGTCAACTTGGGGCTACAGTTCTATGGACTTCTTTGAGAAAATGAACGATCTATCTTTACATATGGATCGGCTGAAGTGTTCTCGGAGTTAAATCGGGAAGCTGACCTCTGTCAGAAACCTACTGATGGCTCTTCATACCAGAATGTAGAAATCTGGGAATTATGGTGAATTCCGCGTGAGGTGTTACTCTTGTTTTCTGAGGAAAGCTTCGTTAAAAGGGTACATCTTCTTTAAGAATGTTCTACATAAAAGGGTGACGGAATTAAGCTAGGGGGCTGAAAGTAGATCCTCCATAAAAATCTTTTTTTGGAGTAAACTCCCCGACTCTCCCAACCGGGGCCAGGGGAGAGAATTAACATCTCGCTCTCGATGCCATTAACAGAAGTCATGACCTTAGGCTCTGCTCTGTGAAAGACAAGTGTAAGTACGAATCAACATGGCGATGGTAAACATGTAATCGGGAGAGAAATTTTAGATGTCGATAAACAGAGAGTTATTGGCCGCCACGTGCATTCTGTTCGCCATACACACAAAGAACACATTTTGATAAATCTCTCCTTCTCTTTCCGCTCACCTGTTCTTTCAACAGAATGTAGAACGCCATTGCGAAGGCCAAAGTGAACATGACAAACAATAACAGAACCTTCAGAACGGTCTTCATCACTTCGAGGAACATGGTCACGTACAGACCCAAGAACTTAATCGGCTCCACGATGAGGATTAAGTTAACGTAACCAAAGAAAATGGAAAACGTTCCCATCTGCCAGTAAATTTCAAAATTTTGTCTCAGACCGGTGTCATCAGTAACGTAAGGTAAAACAAACAAAAATGCTGTCAGGTATAAGGCCCATTCAAGAAAATTGGTCCACTCCGTAAAGTAACGAAGCCTCTGGGTGTAGATCTGATAAAACTCCTTCGCAAGATGCAAAACCGCGAATACGATGACGATATAGGGCACCGCTTCGTTGAATTCACTTTTCTCTATGAAGAATTTTTCGTCAAGTTCATCATCGTCTTCTGGTTTGGGAAAGTTGACATTCTCTCTCTCCGTTGAAACAAAAATTGTCAAGAATATTAGGAAAAGTGAATAAAGCACGAGATTCGTTCCGTAAACAAACCAACCAAACCTCCTCCACTTAAGAAGCAACAGCTTTCGAGAAAGCGGATGAACCAAGAGGAGCTGCTGTTTGTGTCTGACCATCGTTACCAAACCTAGGAAGCGTTCGTCGTTGTTTCCACTGTGATCATCGGGGCCTGGGTCTATGAGAGTGAAGTCATACTTTATGGAGCGTTCAGAAGTAGATCGCTGAATACAGCGATCCAGGGCAACGTGGGCGGCGTCGGGAAAATGTTCAATCAACCTTTCCACAGGATTGGATTTGGCACTTGAGGCTGTAAGTGCTTCTCGCCATCTGTAAAAAATCGCAAATTTTAGGTGAGGAACTTGTGCTTCTTACAGACATACTGTCCCTCAACCTATTTATCTGTCTGCCCGTGTCAGTCGGTCAGTCCAGTAATCATTCGGTCCGTCAGTCTATCAGTCAGTCAGGAAGTCGGTCACAAGCTAATAAGTCTGTTAGTAAGTCAGTCAGTTAGTCAGTCAGCCAGTCATTCAATCAGTCGGCAGGTCGACCAGTCCCTCAACCTGTCTATTGGTCTGTCCGTGTCAGTCAGTCAGCTAGTCAATCAATCAGTCAGCTAGTCGATCAATGAGTCAATCATTTATTCTCTGTCAGTCAATCAGTCAGTCATTATAAAAACCACGACGTTCCGCGAACTATAAGAAGAGAAGCGCGCGTCAAAGAATTCACGCGCACCAAAATAATTTTTTTTCTAACGGTTTCTTTGTCTCACTTGACGGATTACACCGGTAAGGAAGGACTGTTGGAATTTTAGTCAGTCTATCCTCACACGGGTCACTAAGCTGGCCTGAAAGGGTGCACATGCACACATGCCTCATGAGATGTTGCATAACTCATTTCAAATGGCATTGGAGCTAACTAGGAGTGGGATACTGGCGGTAAAATACCTGTTATGTTTGACAATAACCATGACAACTTCATTACTCTGCGCTTCCATTGCTACATCAAGGCATGTCATTCCACGTTTGTTTTGTAAAATTAAGCTCCCTCCATAATTCAACAGTGTCCTGACGATCTCAACTTGACCAAAGTGTGCTGCCACATGGAGGGCTGAATTTCCATCAATGTCTACGTGATCCGTGTGCCCGCCCCTCTCGAGAAGGAGCTCTACGACACCGACATTTCCTGCCTTTGCAGCCCACATTAGAGGAGTCCAGCCTACGATATCGGGGCTATTGATATCAGCACCCATGTCCAAAAGTATGGCGCAAGATTTCCTGACAAGACATCATGGGATCATGTGTTTTCATCAGATATTCATTTATTGGCGCAGTCTCGTTACCATGATCTCTCCTCTCTCTTTGGGAACGGGAAGAAGAGAGACTCTGGGAACGAGCTGGGTAATGTTGATACCAAATGGCCAACTCGATTCGTTTAAAGCTTACTTAGGCCCAACTTTTCTCGAATCCAGTCTTCTCTCCTTCCGACTGGTTTTGGTGGAACAGCGGCTGTTAATCGACTCAACAGCTCAATAGGGTCATAAGCGCCGCGTACATGTACAGAAAAATTACAAGGGGTTTTTAAGTTAAACACTCACTCTTAAAGCTTTTATCTCTACTCAAGAGTTTGAGCACCAGTGAACCGACTTCCCACGGACATTCATCGAGAGGCAAGGGGTAAGATTTGAGGAATGGTGCATTAAATTCAGTATAGGGGATGGTTCGTCAGTCGCTTAATGTTACAGGAAGTAGGTTAACGTCCGATACTGATTGGGCCTTCGCTGCAATGTAATTAAAAAAAAAAAACAACAACAACAACTAGAGCAAAAGTGAAACGTGAGTGACGTACCTCTTCATGCTCATAACAGCGTAGTGCAAAGGAGTTCGCCGCTGATCGTCTCGCATCCATACACAAGATGGCGCAGCTTGGGTGAGAACCTTGACTTGGCGTGAGGTGCCTCGGTCAGCGGCTAAGTGAAGTGGTGTCTTGTGCTTTGCGTCTCGAACGCATCCATTTGCTTTTGTCTCGAGTAGCAGCTCCAAAAGCTACGGAAAAAAGTGTACGTTTCCAAAGATTGCGGTTACGTTTGTTAGAAAAGTTAAGAACTGAAATATAAACACTTTCATTGAAGTGCACTTGGCTTTCATGAAAAAGGAGATTGTAATGATTGTGGTCAATGACATTGGTGACGAGGAAGGGAAAAAAAAACGAAATAGAAGAACAACAACAACAAGGTGGATCTACAGAAGCTTAAATTCAGTTGAACGAAGTCACGCTTTTTCTGTCACCAGGATCATATAATAAAACTGATCACATTATAGGAAACGAACAGTAACTCTTACTAAATAAATTTGCGCTAAACAGTTTTTAGGAACAAAGCATGCAAAGATGACAACGATCTTAAATTAAAATCATCTCTTTTATCCGGTAATAAAACAAGTAGGTCTGTGTCAGTAATCTCCCGTAGCAGTGGTCACACTTCCTGTAATTTGTTTATACCTTCGGGTTGTCAATCCACGACGCGTAATGAAGCGACGTCCGCTGTTTGTGGTCAGGTATGTTGACTAAGTCGTTACCAGTCTCACTCAGTAACATACTGAGCGTTTCCTCTCTTCCCTGTTCTACAGCAAGGTGGAGGCAACAACGTAGGCGCTTGTCTTGAGCTGCCACTTTGGCGCCAAATGATAGAAATAATTTTGCGCAATCAGTCTGTCCAGCAGCTACCGCCAAGAGAAAAGGCGTTTGACCACTCTGGTCCCTCGTGTCAATTTTGGCACCATTTTCATGAAGAATCTCAATGCATTTTGTAGATCCCAAGGCGGCAGCACTGGAAGGAATATTTCAAAAATGTTAAATTAAGGCAAGTATAGCACCTGGGGGTTTGTGAGCGCCAGAATAAAGTGGACGTGCATATTTTGCTTAACCCTTTTTTTTTTTAAGTTTACCGACACCCCTTCGGGTCAACTGATTGGAGTAATAGCTTTCTCATCTTACTCATATTTTTTTAATCTAATTAAATTTTTGGTGTTTTTCGAGTAGCGTCTCATCGTTGGCTTGTAATTTTCAGAATCTTTCCTTGTTTGTAGATGGAAGAGATCAGCTTCACTTGATTTTGGATTAAGTTGTGTGAAACCTTGTGAGAATACGTAAGGGTTATTCAGTAGGTACCTGTGTAGGGCAGTTCTTTGTTGGCTGTCACTTGCATTCATATCGCCACCCTGAAAAATGAGCATTTTCAAGACATCTTGGTGTCCTCCAACTGCTGCCAGGTACACTGGTGTCTGGAGGCTCTTGTTTTGACAATTCACATCAGCCCCATACTGAATGAGCACCTGGGACACGTCCTTGGAACCTGTTTGTACCGCTAGATGAAGTGCTGTGCTACCATCCAAGTCACATTTGTTTATGAACTGTTTGAAGTCAGCGTTCATTTCTGGTTTTGCAACAGTGGATGGTTCTTTTTTGAAATAATGGCGAATTGCTGTATTATTTGGATAAAAAGATCAAAATTAACTTTTAGAAGTCATGAACTATATTCACATTGCAAGTTTTTGACGCATTTTGAACGTCTAATAAGAGTGGCTTAAAGACGGCGGGCTGAATTTTTTTCCAGAGGTAAAGACATCATCTTCGGTGAAGGTGTGGAAAAGTTGCTTTACCGAAACCTTAACAAAAGATAGAAAATCTTGAGATACGTTTCCGATAACTCAACATGTATGTGCCAATTATTCTGAGATCAGAATTTCTCTCAGGAAGGTTCAAGGAACAGTTATTATTAAACGACTTGGTGTTCACATGATTTCAGGGAGAACTAAAGGGGAAACAGTCGTCGCCAACATAGTATAAAAGGGGGACGAAAGTCAATTGACTGCTAATAAACTGCCAAGGGGGAGGGTGGGGGG